GAAATAGGGTGAATACATCTCATTACACTGATTTACTGGTAGTCTCGAAACCCTACTCATTTACGAATAGCATCCTTTAGACATTGCGTCAGCCAATGCAAGTAAAGTTAAAATCATGTACTACTTCCAAATGAAAAAAAGTAATATGAATAATATCTGTAAAAATTAAAAAAAGGAAGATCCCTTGTCAGGCATCCCGAGTAATTTTAGCAAATATTCTAAGCCCTCTGACCTAGGCCGGATAGATAATAGTGCACCCTGGAAAAATGCACTATATGCCGGTCACAAGGGAATAGACGCGACCATAATCGATGCATGATCTGAAAACATAAAGCTAGGAGGTTTAAACAACTTTCTGAGTTCACTTGTGCGGAAAGAGTCCGCAATAGCTATGAGGCGTATAATGCTAAGACAAACGGAGGCTTGGCCGAAGTAAAAGGAGACAAAAATGGCACTTCCAAAAAAACGCAATGATTAAATAGGTTACCAAAATAAGTGAAATCCTGGAAACATCAACTTAATAGTGTTTCTTGCACCAAAACAACCATTTTTACCAGGCAGAAATCATCATGAGTGTAATAAACGAAAGCTTAATATCTTGATCTCACCGAAAGACGACCGACGATTATCGTTGTACTACAGCTGTTCTGTCTTAATACGACGTTCATGTTAAGCAATAGATAAGACATTATCTCTCATTTCGGCTGAAAATGGGTTGAGCTTACGTCCATCACATAATGGACATCATCATAGCTAGAACTCATTCCTGTAAAAGTCTTCTTGACCTGATGCTAACTTAAGGCAATTACAATAATGAGTTCCAGATCTGATGATGGACGAAAGCTCACTGAGCAAACAAGTTGAGCCGCCTTCTTTTGGATGGCGACTCTTTTCCTTCTTTTCTTATTCAACTTACTACCAGCATTCCTCACATTCAACATAACCCTTAATCTATTAATTTTAATTACCTCTCTTATATTCCTTATAACAGCCGACGTGCCATGATCAGCAAACCTACTAGTTTGAAACAATTATATCTCATGTCCAGTCTCTGGCCTGCGTGTTGGGCCATTTATGACCGTTGGACCCAGCTCCCTCTGCAAGCATTTTTTTGTTTTCCTAATCTTTGGCGAATAGGCCAACACAAGGTCGACCAGAGGAGCACGCCATTTTGTAGCAGCCGGATCTCGAAAACTGGTTACATTTTACTCCAAAAGCTAGCATAACCAAAGAAAGTGTGAGGCTTTCTTTAAGCACAGTTTTTATCCACCACTCTTTTATTAGCTTACTAGTTAGCCTTAGAAAGAAGACATGAAGGCAAAATTAGGACACGAGAAAGGGTCTCCGCTTCATAATCTTTAATTAAATATTCATTGTCTGAAAATTTATACTTCAATAAAGAGATTAGGCTCAATTAAGCCAATTAGGATATATTAGGTTTAAAAAATAATTCTGCTGTTTCAATCCTTTAGTTAAATGGTTATTTTTTCGTGAGTAGGTTTTCAAGTTATATGAGTTGTGTTCACCTTATTTCGTTTAACGTGATGAAGGAATGGTAGTTTAATTTTCCCACAATGATATGAATATAACTGATCTTTTTATTTAATTTCGCATAACCTTGCTTTACCAAAAGGTGTTCTCAACTTTTATCATCATCTTAAGCGGAATATGATGAACAAAACCCCTATAAATGGTTTTTATCCGCTAGTCACATTCTCCTCATACTTATAGTCATGAGTACATATAAAAGGTAAGATAGAGCCGGACAGTCTTCTTAACTGAGTGTCTGTGAACTTGAAGCTTTTACAAGAATGAGTTCCAGCTCTGATGATATAAATAATACGATGGATCAAAGCTTAGCCCGTTTTCCTCCGAAACGAAAGAGGATGGCTCGTGGACTGCGTCAATCTGGACGTCGTATTAACGCTGCAGAACAATGTGAATCAGTCCTCGTCCTATGGTGAGATTGACCTTATAATCATCCCTTTCATTCGAAATGAAAGTCTCTTCAATAATGTTACCTCAAGAAATTTATCTAAACTCACTTTCTGTTCTTATTTAACAAATAAATTATGGCTTTAAGTTGATCTTGCATCTACGTTTGCCGTATCTTTCGATCTAGCCTATTCCGAATCCATCTTAACTCATCCTGACTCCCAGTGATTTTATTCAGAACAAACGTAGAGTATCTCTTTTAGCGCTTGGTTAAAACACATAATAATTGCCAGCAACAAGTAGAGTAGAGCCAAAATACGCTATTCAGAATCAGAGCCGAACTCATGTAAGAACGCAATAGTGGATGATGTATAAGTAAAATATGTCTGTAAATAGCGTATTATCGAGGGTAATGGCGAAAAACCTGGCCCAGAATCTAAAATATCAGGTGGGTATTTTCCTTAGCCCTCGAAATAAAGTTAATGCTGAAATAGAATTAAAATCTGTGCTTAGAGTAACTAGATGGATATACGCCAAGTGAACACGTTTTTTAATAAGAAAAAAAATTTTCGAGTTCATTTAGAAGTCTGCTAGAACTCGATCAAAGTCCTCTTCAAGATCAGCTGAGCTTCATAATCCATTGAATCTATGCGCATAACTGCAAGTACACCTCAAAGAAGAAGATCTCAGATCATTTTCGCCAAGCAGGCATGTGGTAGAAGACAAGATTTAATAATTTTCAATAGGACTAAGTTCCATGCTTGCCAGGTAGTAGCATGTAAGAAGTTGAGAAAAATGCCTACCCATCAGTAGCCTTTGGTAGGGTCGAGTCGTATAATTCTGCCCCCCCGGACACCGGGCAAACTGCATTGTCTGCTGATGACGGTAAAGGCGTCGCTTGGCGTCTGTAGCGCAGCAATAGGACACTGGTGCACACCAGACTGTAGGCCAGCAGAGTGCCGCTCGACATCATCTCAACCAGAGCACGCAGGTCGATACAAAGAGCAAGCACTGCGGTGATCAGGCCGGGCAGAAGCGTGGACCATATTGGGGTCTCGGTGCGCCGCCATATGCCGGCCAGAAATCTGAGTAAGAAACAGAATGTTTGGAAAAAGTTATACTTATTATGCAGGGAAGATGCTAAATCTAATACAACTTCTACCAAAGTCCGACACTATGGCACCCGAAGGTCATGGAATGGGCACCACCATTAAGACAAGGTTACTCAAAAATTACCCTGTGATGCAAACAATCATAATTTGCAACTAGAGCAGGGGGAATAGAGGATATGCTAAAATATGTTAGGGCCAATCCCAAAAGATGAATGCAAGAACTAGTCAACTTCTAACAAAATAATTATAAAAAAGTAATACAAACCACTACTATTCAATCTTTTTTTACCATCCTTGATTAGAAATACAGTGATATAGCTACCAAGTATAACAGTCAACAGGAAACTCATCCATACTGCTGAAATGGGAAAATCTGTATTTGCCCTGTTCCAAATGTGAAGGAGGATTCCAAGCGGAATCCGTACAAAACATGTACATTTATGTACAAAGAAAACACGGGCTTCGGGAAATCTCTTGGTCTGCAATTGTTGGGCTTGGTTCCATCTCGACTGGAATCAAACCACGTGCCTCTAGATTGGCATACGACTTGGACTAACCGAATCATTTTATGCCTCATTAAAATGCATAATTTTAGAGCCAGTGAGTTTGCCTAACCCCTTAGTTTGAATATGGTTGTGAGAATGAAAAATTGTTATGATGACGTCGTCATAGGATAGACAAAGGACTAGCAGTTATTCACGGGAATGGAAGGAAATCGGCTCGGGGACAGCTTCAATAAGTATTCATTCGAAATGGAATTGAGTCCAACAAAACATGTATACATAGGCAAAATAAATCATACGGAGTAGGAGCTTAGTCACGCAAACAAAAAGCAGAGCCAGGATCCACATACAGTGCCAGCTGTATGGAAAATGAAAGCCAATCAATTAACTAAACCGATCCCAACACTTAATCGATATATGAATTATAAGTGTATTTTGACATTAGTCGATATGTAGTCAACTGTAATGACAAATATAGGATA